TATATATATATACAAACCGGATTCCAAAAAAGTTGGGACACTAAACAAATTGTGAACACAAACTGAATGCAATGATGTGGAGGTGCCAACATCTAATATTTTATTCAGAATAGAACACAAATCACAGATCAAAAGTTTAAACTGAGAGAATATATCATTTTAAGGGAAAAATCTGTTGTTTCCAAATTTCATGGCGTCAACGAATCCCAAAAAAGTTGGGACAAGTCCATTTTTACCACTGTGTGGCAACCTTCTTCTTACAACACTCAACAGATGTCTGGGGACAGAGGAGACCAGTTTCTCAAGATTAGAAATAGGAATGCTCTCCCATTCATGTCTAATACAGACTGTTCAATCGTCTTGGGCCTTCTTTGTTGCACCTTTCTCTTTATGATGCGCCAAATGTTCTCTATAGGTGAAAGATCTGGACTGCAGGCTGGCCATTTCAGTACCCGGATCCTTCTCTTACGTAGCCATGATGTTGTGATTGCTGCAGAATGTGGTCTGGCATTATCGTGTTGAAAAATGCAGGGTCTTCCCTGAAAGAGATGATGTCTAGATGGGAGCATATGTTGTTCTAGAACCTGAACATAGTTATCTGCATTAATGGTGCCTTTCCAGACATGCAAGCTGCCCATGCCACAAGCGCTCATGCAACCCCATACCATCAGTGATGCAGGCTTCTGAATGGAACGTTGATAACAACTTGGGCTATCCTTGTCCTCTCTGGTCCAGATGATATGGCGTCCCAGTGTTCCATAAAGAACTTCAAATCGTGACTCATCTGACCACAGAACAGTCTTCCATTTTGCCACACTCCATTTTAAATGACCCCTGGCCCAGTGCAAACGTCTGAGCTTGTGAAGCTTGCTTAGAAATGGCTTCCTCTTTGCACTCTAGAGTTTCAGCTGGCAACGGCAGATGGCACGGTGGATTGTGTTCACTGACAATGCTTTCTGGAAGTATTCCTGAGCCCATTCTGTTATTTCCTTGACAGTGACATTCCTGTTGGAGGTGCAGTGACGTTTAAAGGCCCGGAGATCACGAACATCCAGTAGAGTTTTACTGCCTTGACCCTTACGCACAGCGATTGTTCCAGATTCTCTGAATCTTTTGATGATGTTATGCACGGTTGATGATGATAACTTAAGTATTTGCTATTTTACACTGGGTAACACCATTCTGGTATTGCTGCACTATCTTTCTGCGCAGCAATGGTGGAATTGGTGATCCTCTTACCATCTTGACTTCTGAGAGACACTGACACTCTGAGAAGCTCTTTTTATACCCAATCATGTTGTCAATTGACCTAATTAGTGTTAATTGGTCTTCCAGCTGTTCGTTATGTGCTCAATTTCCATTTTCCAGCCACTTATTGCTACTTTTCCCAACTTTTTTGGGATTTACATTTCTACTCTTCTGTCCCAAAATCCTACTACAAACGATGGGGTGACTGGGCTTTTTCGGTTGTCGCACCCAGACTCTGGAACCAGCTACCTCAGGACTTGCGCTCCATCACTGACATGGAGCATTTTAAATATAATCTTAAACCTTTTTTTTTTTTTTTTTTTTTTCAGGCAGGCTTTTAATACCTAGTAGCTCATTGGTCTTTGACAATCTTGCTATGTTTTAAATGTTTTTGTTTTTAACTGACTGATTTTTTATTCTTGTTTGTTTTTAACTTCTGTATTGTGCAGCACTTTGTGCACCTTTTGGCTGCTGGAAAGGGCTCTATAAATAAAGTTTGATTGGTTGATTGTTGACACTGTGAGATTTTGAATCAACACATTTTTTCCTTTTAAAATGTTACATTTACTCAGATTAAACTTTTGATCTGCCATCGATGTTATATTACGAATAAAATATTGACATTTGCCATCTCCACATCATTGCATTCAGTTTGTATTCACAGTTTGTTTAGTGTCCCAACTTTTTTGGAATCCGGTTTGTGTATATATATATGTGTGTGTGTGTGTGTGTGTTCAGTAGGGGACATTTGTGGCCCAGTTTGTGGAAATTTCTGGCCCTGCTGAAGGTTGATAATCCCAAATATACATGTCTTCATACAAATTAGGCACCACAGGCTAGACTTTCCACAGAGTCAGTGGATAGAAATTACGTCTCATCTACACTGTCTTCTGTCTCTCCTTCTGTTACAGACTCAACATGCACAGAGCCACTCATCTAGGTACATGCACAAATGATTGTGTACAAGAACACACACAGACACACACACTAATTTAGACTAGAGAGGCTGGTCCCCGATAGTTTCAAGGGAGGGTAGTTTAATTAGGCTCTGACAGCACCCACTGAGAATTGCTCCTGAATTTGACACTGTTTTTTCCAAATGTCACCGTCAAGTGCTTTTCTCAGAATGAAATGTGAGTTATTATTCTGATTGTTCCACGTTCATGGTGTTTTTTTAAAATTGTATTTTTTTTTTCCTTTTTTGTCTTTTAGTACTCATTGAACAGCATTGCAATTAACTGATTTAATAGCCATGTTCCACATGATGGATATTGTATGATTTTAGTTTAAGAACTCCTGAGAATTACCTGTCAGCAAGAGAATCGATAAATACACGGTAAAAAAAAAAACATGTGCATGAATGTAAAAATTGCATAAAGCCAGTGACAGATAAAATCATAACAATAGCAAGAGCAATCTTTCCTTATTTCTGGTAAATGTCTATCCCACATCTGTCAGCCTGAATAGATTTTGGATACTGTGACAACATAATGTTCTGATACAGCCCAACAACCGCAAAAGCGTTGTGGTTTCCATGTCATCAAGATAACTTTTGTTGCAATTGTTTTAGTTGCTGTAAAGAACAAAATTGTTTGGTTAGATGTACAAAACCATTGTGTTTTTCTTCAAATACACTTTCTGACAATAGCAATTACATCTGACATTTCTCCCTCTTTTTGTGACAAGCCTGCATTCTGTTTTTTCATGGTTACCACTTTGACAAGTCTGGTGGCTGTGGCAGAGACAGCAAATAACATGAGGCTAATCAGAGAATCT